CTAGGGGGTTTTCTCTTCGGGAGAGCCCCCTGACCAAGTACTGGGTGTCCGGCTTCGGCTGGACACGAGGAACTGTGGTCCACCAGGCCTTTTGGCCAGGAGGACCAAATGGGAACCTTGTCCCTGTCAGGAGCTTCGTGCCCCGGGGGGGATCAGGGTAGCGGTCCTGCCCCTTTAAGGGTAGGACAAAAGCACACCCCTAAGTGCACTTTTTCATGTGGTGTTTTGCACTTGCACTTTTTTTGTGTGAACACTTACAGGTTTTTTTGTTATAGTTGCACGTTTGCGGACTTAAAAAAAAAAAAAAAAAGGTCAGTAAGACCTTCACAATGAGCAGTGGGTGGTAGTCTTGGATCTGGACCCCTTTAAGTTCATCAGTTGGTGGGCCCTCCAGGGTGGGTGGTGGCTGTTGGTGGGCACTCCAGGAAAGGACAGTAGGCGGTGGGGGTTGGTGGGCCCCCTGGGATGAGCGGTGGAGGGCGGCAGGTGGGCCCCCTGGGATGAGCAATTGGTGGGCCCCCTGGGATGAGCAGTGGGAAGTGGTTTCGGTTGGTGGGCCCTCTGGGATGAGCAGTGGTGGTTGGTGGGCCCTCCAGGATGAGCAGTTAATGGCGTTCAGAAGATTTAATAATGTAACTTCTCTTCTCTTTCAGGTATTCTGTGGTGACAGCCCCTCCTCCGCTCAGCACCTTATACACCGCTGGACACCAAAGACTCAGGACATGCCTCAGATTACAGGTGGAGGTGATCATTCATCCCCACCTAGGACTACTCCACTGATAACTGCACTATTCTCTCTCCTGACCTCCTGCACCTCAATTAGTGGAATGACCTAATCTGAGGATGATCGCTTTGTGACCTCTGACCCTCCCCCCCCACCCTCATCCTTTCTGCAGCAGCGAGCTTTAATGTAAAGCTTTCTATTGGTGGCTTGTTCTGGATGGAGTGGAGGAAGTTTGGTCTCCATTGATCTGGTAACCATTGTTGGACAGGAAGTGATGGGTGATACCAGAACAGGAAGTGGAGATCTTCCAATGGGGACACCAGGATTCCACTCTTTCTGTTGTGTATCCTAGGACAGGAAGTAATGAGAAATCTCCCCAGTAGGCCAAAGGCTGGCATTAACCTACCTGGGGGGTCCTCACCTCTGCTCCATCCAAAACAAACTGCCTTTTTAGATAAAATTCCAGAAATGTCAGCAGCTGCTGTGCTTTGTAGAATGTGTCTGCAGCCAAGTGCCTTCCAGGGCTCCGAGCCCATCTCTGACTTTTACTACTGGGGATTTGTTTGCACTAGACAGTTATTCCGCCATTATTGGCACTATTCCATCCCCATAGCAACACTCATTTATAGTGTGGGGATTGGTGGTTGGGTCACATTTCATCTCACTTTTGTATCAGAAATGGTTTTGTTTAATAAAGAGCATTGAATGAAAGCAGAACTGCGTGATTACTTCATAGTGTGGTGGTGTCACTGGGGTTGTATGACCTGGGGAGTGGTGGTGTCACATGACCTGGAGTGGTGTTGCAGATGTCACATGGCATTACTTGGTCATGGTTACCAGTGATGTCAATGGGGTTTTATGACCCAGGAAGTGGTGGTGTCACATGACTTGGAGTGATTTCACTGGTGTCACAATTTGGAGAGTCAAGACTCAGCCTTGGCATTACTTGTCCTGACAACTGATGGTGTCACTGGGGTTGTAGGACTTTGGGTGAGTTGACTGGTATCACATGACCCAGTTTGAACATGCCCTATGATGTTCCTTGGGTAACCCTTCCCCTGTGTCACATGACGTGTGGCAAGGCCCATATCTGTAGGTTTATTCCAGAGGCAGGAGCTGCTCCCACATGTCTGCTGAGACCATTCCACCACGTAGGAGGAACTCCTCCCTGACTGACCGGCCGTTCCTCCCCCCCCCCCCCCCCCCCCCCCCCCCGAATTCCATCTGAGTTCTCTATCCCCTAATAGAGGGGATGATCGTTTTCAGCCATAGTGATTAAAGCTCAAAGAGCTGAATGGTTTTTCACTTCTGAATTGAATATTTTGATGAACTTGTCAATTGATGGTCTTGCCTCTGATCTGATACTTGTAGTGCCTCCCTCAGCAAAGGAGATGTCCTGCCGGTCCTCAGGAATGATAACATCGCCATCCAATAGTGTAGCATAATTGCCGCTCAACCCAATCCAGTCTGTGGTTGCCATGTCTAAGATGGGAGGAGCCTTACACCACTGCAGGCCATGCCCTCTGACATGGTTCTCCCCACCCACAGCAGCCTAGGGGTAAAGGGAGAGGCAGGACAGAATTTGTGAGTTCTTGTGTTCTTCACCTCTACAACTACAGGATGGGTGAAACATGTCAGAGGGCGTGGCCTGTAGGGTGCTGTAAGGCTCTGCCCATCTTACACATTCTCCAGAGTGGATTGGGTCTCTGCTGGTGTCACTGAAACCTATTGATTTCCTTCATATGGGCATCCACCTGCAGAGGGCTAGCTTTAGATTGGTCAAAGTCCCTGGATCAGCAGTTTCTCCCAAGACTGGTGCACACATGACACAATCTGGTTGTACAATCTCCTTTTTAGATCTTCCTGATTTGGATAGTTTCTGGTACATCTGAAGTTTAGAAAAATTGACATTTGATAGTATAATGGAGGGTAAATGTTTATTGGAGGTGGCTACTAAATGCCAATATAATCCATCCAAGTTTATGCCTGAGAAGGGTTGCTCTGGGATAAATCTGTGAGGAGACAACCTCACCATAGATGTAGCACAGAATGTCACCCAACATGGTTCTCGCCACAAAGTCCATGTTCCAAGGATGAATTTGCAGTTCCAAGTGATAACACATCATCCAGGTCCATACAGCCACTATCGGACTGATACATTTGTTACATTGTGGTGGGGGAGGGTTCTCCATTGTGGAGATCTCCCCACCCAATTCAGTCTATGGGGCATTTTCCTCTCCTTTGTACCCAGTGCCTTCTGAAGGGTGACCTTTTTTTTTTTTTTTTTTACATAGAAATGTTGAAAGACAGTCATAACTCCTCCCTCTGAGCTGTCGCATGCAGTCTGTGTATTGATCGATTAGACCACATGGAATGTATGGACATCTGTAATCTGTGACATGTTTTGTTCTATCACTGCACACCCTAGGGTGTGTCATTGTCTCCAGGGGGAGGGGTTGTCTGTGACCATTGATGAAATCTTTATATGAGAAGATAAACATTGGATGCTTTCATCTGTCGGGTGTTTGAGGTTCACATCCCATAAAGATCCTTATTTCTTAGGGAGTGAAGGATAGGGATGCCAAAAGCGGATGACTCCCTCATACTGTCAATTGTTTTCTATGGAGGTTCCTAAATCTAAAGTGTATTCAAGACTGCAACCCGGCCACTTACGTCCTGGATCTGACACTTCCTAGGATGACCACCTGGGCAGACATGGAGCTCAGAGTGTGATGGATCGACCTGGGCAGACATGGAGCTCTGCGTGTGAGGGATCCACCTGGCCAGACATGGAGCTCTGCGTGTGAGGGATCCACCTGGCCAGACATGGAGCTCTGCGTGTGAGGGATCCACCTGGCCAGACATGGAGCTCTGCGTGTGAGGGATCCACCTGGCCAGACATGGAGCTCTGCGTGTGAGGGATCCACCTGGCCAGACATGGAGCTCTGCGTGTGAGGGGTCCACCTGGCCAGACATGGAGCTCGGAGTGTGAGGGGTCCACCTAGGTCAATTATACTTCAGTGAGATGATCAGATTTTGTTGAATTATTTCCGCCTTTGTCAAATTACAGTAAAAACAGGCAGAGTTATTGCTCAGGGAAGGTCTATGATTGGCCGAATGGACTCCTTGTGGGAAGAACCGGTTCTAATAATCTGCCATTCTCTGAATTCATGTGAAAGCTTCAGCATGAAAAAACTTTATTTACCAAGATAGAAAACATGATTCATTCATGTTCACTTCCACCCTCCCACCGCTCTGCCCAAAATATGTCTCCGCCCTCTCACTGCTCCGCCATATGATTGTCTCCGCCCTCCCACCGCTCCACCAAAAAAATGCCTCCACCCTCCCACTGCGCCACCAAAATTATTGTCTCTGCCCTCCCACCGCTTCGCCCAAATTATTGTCTCTGCCCTCCCACCACTACGCCAAAAATATGTTTCGACCTTCCCACCGCTCCACCAAATTATTGTCTCCGCCCTCCCAGCACTCAGCCAAAAATATGTCTCTGCCCTCCCGCTCCGCCAAAAATATGTCTCCGCCCTCCCACCGCTCCGCCAAAAATGTCTCCGCCCTCCCACTGCTCCGCCAAAAATATGTCTCTGCCCTCCCACCGCTCCACCAAATTATTGTCTCCACTCTCCCACCGCTCCGCCAAAAATATGTCTCCGCTCTCCCACCACGCCACCAAAAATATGTCTCCACCTTCCCACCACTCCACCAAATTATTGTCTCTGCCCTCCCACCACTCCACCAAAAATATGTCTCTGCTCTCCCACCACACCACCAAAAATATGTCTCCACCTTCCTACCACTCCACCAAATTATTGTCTCCGCCCTCCCACCGCTCCGCCAAAAATATCTCAATGCCCTCCTCCCACTGTTCTAGCGAAATATCATCTCAACCACTCTTCTGAAGGAATACTCTTTGCCCTCACAACACCCCAATAAATTATCCCTCTAGCACCCTACCACAAAACCCCTCTGTCCCCTCACCACCCTACCAAAAAAAATTCCCTCCATCTTCTCGCCAGCTGCCAAAGAAATCCCATCTTCCCTCACACCACCCCACCAAAAAATCCCCTGTTCTCCCACCACCCTACCAAAATTATCCCTCCCGCCCTCCTTCCTCTGTCCCACTAAAATATCCCCTCCATCTTCTCACCAACCTTCCAAAGAAATCCCATCTGCCCTTACACCACCCCACCAAACAAATCTCACCGGCCCACCAAAACATCCTGTCTGTCCTCCCACTGCCCCATCAAACGCCAGCTCAGTTTTAATTGCGGTGTGTCCTCTGGTGTCTGGTAAGATGGGTCTTCCTGCTGAACCTCTTATTGCACTGGATGCAGGGGAAAGGCCGCTCCCCTTGGTGGATCTTCTCATGTCGGTGCTGAACTGACTTCAGTGTGAAACGTTTCCCGCATTCGGAACACACAAAAGGTTTCTCGCCAGTGTGTTTTCTCTGATGGACGATAAAAAGGGACATCTTGGCAAAGCACTTTCCACACTCGAAGCATATGTGCGGCTTCTCACCTGCATGGCGGGTCACATGTCCAACAAGGCCGGAGAGATCAGGGAACACTTCGTCACAGTCGGAGCAGGAGAATTGTTGCTCCCGCATGTGCATCCTTTGGTGGATCATGAGCGTTGAACGCAACTTACAGCCTTTCCCACAAACTGAGCAGGTAAAAGGTTTATCTTGCATATGGACGGCTTGATGGCGGTCAAGATTAGTGCGCTGGCTGAAACATCTCCCGCAGTCAGCGCAAGAAAAGGGTTTGACTCCCGTGTGGACTCTCTCGTGGTTCTCCAAGTCTGATTTCCGGGTAAAGCCTTTGCCACATTCGGAGCAAACAAATGGCTTTTGGCCTGTATGGCTCCTGAGATGGACGGTGAAGTTAGTTTTACTCTTGAAACCCTTACCACACTCAGGGCAAACCAAGAGATTCCACTGCCCGACCTCAGTTTTCGGCAAAACCATGGAATCTGTCCAACCATCAGAAGACGCAGAATGCCGTTCTCCAGTATGAACTTGGAAATGGGAAACAAGTGTAGACCACCGACTGAATTTCCTTTCACACTCCAAGCACTCAAATGGTCTATCGCCTGTGTGGCTCTGCATGTGACGGACCAGCGTTCCTCGCCGGTTGAAACATTTACCACATTCAGCACAGACAAACGGCCTGTCACCATTATGAAGCCTCATGTGATTCACCAGACTGGCCTCAATGCCAAAACACTTTCCGCAGTCTGGGCATTCAAATTGTTTCTCTCCTGAGTGAATTTTACTATGAATGGCCAATTCAGACTGCCAAGAAAAACACTGACCGCATTGGGGACAAGAGAACAGCATGTTGGATGGAGAATGCTCAACTCTGCCGATTATTGGCTTTCCAAGCTTAGTACTGCCTAACTGGTTTTCCATAAGATTCGAGGCACTGTTAGAGTGTTGTTGATGGTTGTCAAGATTCAAGGAACTGGTAGAGTGTGGTTGATGGTTGTCAAGATTCAAGGAACTGGTAGAGCGTGGCTGATGGTTGTCAAGATTCAAGGAACTGGTAGAGTGTTGTTGATGGTCATCAAGATCGAAGGAATTGGTAGAGCATTGTTGATGGTCATCAAGACTCAAGGAACTGGTAGAGCGCTGTTGATGGTCGTCAAGATTCAAGAAACTGAGAGAGCGTGGCTGATGGTCATCAAGACTCAAGGAACTGGTAAAGCATGGTTGATGGTGGTCAAGACTCAAGGAACTGGTAGAGTGTGGTTGATGGTCATCAAGACTCAAGGAACTGGTAAAGCGTGGTTGATGGTCGTCAAGATTCAAGGAACCGGTAGAGCATTGTTGATGGACTTCAAGATCCGAGGAACTGGTAGAGCATTGTTGATGGTCAACAAGATAGAAAGAACTGGTAGAGAATTGCTGATTGTCTACAGGATGAAAGGAACTGGTAGAATGTTGATGATGATTGCCAAAATCTGAGGAACTGCTAAAACTTTGCTGATGATCAAAAATTTCAGAGGATCTGGTAGAGCTCTGCAGATGGTCATCAAGGTCCGAGGAATTGGTCAAACTTTGTCGATGATCAGATGGGTTATATATCTTATCTGAAGAGTTGGTTGCCATCTGTGCATTAACATCTCCAGGACAGAGTGCCAAGGTAATAGGTAAATATTGTATTTGGGGGGAAGGTGTGTCTCCTTGAAGGATGTTTTTTTACTTCACTTAAGAATGGTTCCTCCTTGATGGTTGAGGGATTTTCAGCTGTTATGTCTGTGTTTAAATCTATTGAAAATACAATCCTCATGGTCAGATCCATACATTTTCCAATTTTGGAATCTAGCTTAAAACCTTTCCACAAATCGATCAGCTGTCTCCCGTGTCTGAGTAGACAATGTCAAGTCTTTAACATGACCCACCACTAGTCAGAGGAGAATTAAAGTAACTTTTGGAAGTGGGAATATCTTTTCTAGCATTACTTAGATATGATTTATAACATGATAAAATATTCTCTTACCTGGATCTGGGAGGGGGTGGTGGTCCTCCATCATGACGTCCTTGTAGAGATCCTTGTGTCCTTCTAAATACTCCCACTCCTCCATGGAGAAATAGACAGTGACACCCTGACACCTTATAGGAACCTGACACACATACAATGATACAGTCACCATCCAGACACATCCCTTGTCTGTTACTGGAGAATGTCCCAGAATTCCCGGCACCGCTCACCTCTCCTGTCAGCAGATGGACCATCATGGTGGTCAGTTCCAGGATCTTCTGCTCTTTGTTCCTCTCAGGTATTGGGGAACGAGGGGGAGGCACCATGGTGGGGCTCTGGATCCTGCTCCATCCTCCTGAGATTGGCTCCCCACTAGACTTCTTCACTACAACATAATCCTACAGATCAGGAGAAAGAGAAAACGATATCAATCATCTGACATCATCTACATGTCTACAAGAAGAACATGGTCTATTGGCCAGACTAGACCAGAGTGATGTCATGTGACCTCCCAGAATCCTCCTCACCTCTCCGGCCAGGTCTCTGTGATGTCATGTGACCTCCCAGAATCCTCCTCACCTCTCCAGCCAGGTCTGTGTGATGTCATGTGACCTCCCAGAATCCTCCTCACCTCTCTGGTCAGGTCTGTGTTTTATTAAAAGAGATGAGAGTGATGTCATGTGACTTCCCAGCATCCTCCTTACCTCTCCGGTCAGGTCTGTGTGATGTCATGTGACCTCCCAGAATCCTCCTCACCTCTCCGCTCAGGTCTCTGTTTTATTAATAGAGGTGAGAGTGATGTCATGTGACCTTCCAGAATCCTCACCTCTCCGGTCAGGTCTGTGTGATATCATGTGACCTCCCAGAATCCTCCTCACCTCTCCGGTCAGGTCTGTGTGATGTCATGTGACCTCTCAGAATCCTCCTCACCTCTCTGGTCAGGTCTGTGTGATGTCATGTGACCTCCCAGAATCCTCCTCACCTCCCCGGTCAACAGATAGACGATGTCTAGGGCGAGTTTTAACATTTTTGCAGTTATGTCCATCTTTCTCTTCTCCATCCTCATGCAAGACTTTTTGTCTTCGCTAGGTGACCACCCTGGAAGCAGAAACATGGTGACATCATCATGGTGACATCATCAGACCGGAAGAACTTCTCATTTTTATTACCGGTCTTTGATAACCGTTTCCCTCCAGCCAGTGATCACGACTCCAATCTTCATCCAGGAGGATCTTCATGAGAAGTGAGGCCTCCTCAGCAACTCCTAAGTCTATGAGTGTCCTGCTATTCATTCACCAACCACAGCTGGCTTGGTGGCCGCTGTCTCTGGTCCCCCAGATGTAAGATGAGTGGCCAGTGAAGGGGGGGGGGGGTGAAAGGGACTGGCCAGAGAGCTCTGACTGCAATGTCTATAACTGTGGGCCCTTGGGTATTGGGGCTCCAGGAATAGACCAAGGATCTAAAGGTGGTCCATTTACAATGTTAGGGGTCTCGGGGGAAGTTTAGTTCAGTCTGAGTGGTTATATCATTTTCAGAGAAGTCTGGAGGATTTGTTTTAGGGGTCTATCTATGATAAAATACCACAGACATTTGTCCAGCATATCTGCACGTACGTTCATTCTGTGTGCATTGGGTAAAAACGAATGTTCTTCAGGCTACTTCCTCTTCCCAACGAATGTTCTTCAGGCTGCTTCCTCTTCCCAATGAATGTTCTTCAGGCTACTTCCTCTTCTGAACGAATGTTTTTTAGGCTAGTTCCTCTTCTGAACGAATGCTCTTCAGGCTACTTCCTCTTCCCAACGAATGTTCTTCAGGCTACTTCTTCTACCCAACGAATGTTCTTTAGGCTACTTCCTCTACCCAACGAATGTTCTTCAGGCTACTTCCTCTACCCAGCAAATGTTCTTCAGACTACTTCCTCTACCCAACGAATGTTCTTCAGGCTTATTCCTCTTCCCAACTAATGTTCTTCAGGCTAATTCTTCGTCCCAACAAATGTTCTTCAGGCTACATCCTCTTCTGAATGAATGTTCTTCAGGCTACTTCCTCTTCCCAACGAATGTTCTTCAGGCTACTTCCTCTATCCAACGAATGTTCTTCAGGCTACTTCCTCTTCCCAACGAATGTTCTTCAGGCTACTTCTTCTTCTGAACGAATGTTGTTTTATTGCAGGCAAAAGTAAAATGCAGCATGATGGCCGCTAGGTGGAGCTAAGGAGCATGGGAAATACGAATGTCTATGTAACAATTCCAGGGGACACTCACCATTGGATCCATCGATTTGCTTGTTCCCTCTATCGTTCTTTAGGATTGTTACATTGTATCTCTAGGTACATGTATGTATTTCCTGTGCTCCTCGGCTCCATCTAGTTGCTACAATGTCAGGAAATATCCTACAAACATTCGTCTTTCCTCGGTTCGCACAGAACGAATGTCCACGGGGATTTCCTGGACAAATAACCGAATGAGAAGAAATATTTTAGTTCATTTTATGTATTTTATCAGATAGAACAGCTGCTCCTCCCGCAGAGACGAGGCCTTCTGGTTGGGGGCCCTCTACAGGCGGTACCGGGGAGCTTTAGGGGCAACACAAATGCAACACGGGGGAGGAGTCACTGTGTACAATGGTATACTCCCAGCTGGGACCATGTATTGTTTTCAGGCATGGATGTGTGAAACGCAAAGCGCCGGGCACGATACTCGAATCACTATATACAATACTGACCAGACAGAACGGGGGCGCACTGCGAGGAATCCGCGTCCTTCCCGCCGTCTCCGGGAAACTCGCACCTCTCTCCCTACCTCTCCGCCAAAACCGGTTTAGTCACCTGCAGGTTTTTTTGAAGGCTCCTGGTCAGGACACGCCCACTTAACCCTTCCACCGCCACAACCCAGCTCCGCCCACGGGCCCCGAAGGGTGCAAGAGAGCAAAAAAAAAAAAGAAGTGCAAATACTAAAAACAAAACAGGAAAATAAAGATCACAGGAATTGTTACAGAGTACAACACAATAAAACAACACAAAATTCAACGAAAAAGACATAACATAAAATAAAACAAAACAACTTAAAAAAAACAAAAAAAATGAATAAATACAAATAAAACAAATGTAATAAATAAAATGAAACAATAACTATAAAAAATAAATAAAATAACAAACCAACCAGTAGTTGGTGTCTCTGCCCCTCCCACAATGGGGAGATTTCCCCTAGTAGTTTGTGTCTCTGCCCCTCCCACAATCAGATTTCCCCCAGTAGTTTGGTGTCTCTGCCCCTCCCACATGAGAGATTTCCCCCAGTAGTTTGTGTCTCTGCCCCTCCCACAATGGGGAGATTTACCTGTAGTAGTTTATGTCTCTGCCCCTCCCACAGTGGGGAGATTTCCCCCAGTAGTTTGTGTCTCTGCCCCTCCCACAATGGAGAGATTTCCCCCAGTAGTTTGTGCCTCTGCCCCTCCCACAATGGAGAGATTTCCCCCCGTAGTTTGTGTCTGTGCCCCTCCCACAATGAGTTTTTTCCCCAGTAGTTGGTGTCTCTGCCCCTCCCACAATGGGGAGATTTCCCTCCAGTAGTTGGTGTCTCTGCCCCTCCCACAATGGGGAAATTTCCCTCCAGTAGTTGGTGTCTCTGCCCCTCCCACAATGGGGAGATTTCCCTCCAGTAGTTGGTGTCTCTGCCCCTCCCACAATGAGATTTCCCCCAGTAATTGGTGTCTCTGCCCCTCCCACAATGGGGAAATTTCCCTTCCGTAGTTGGTGTCTCTGCCCCTCCCACAATGGGGAAATTTCCCTCCAGTAGTTGGTGTCTCTGCCCCTCCCACAATGGGGAGATTTCCCTCCAGTAGTTGGTGTCTCTGCCCCTCCCACAATGAGATTTCCCCCAGTAATTGGTGTCTCTGCCCCTCCCACAATGGGGAAATTTCCCTTCCGTAGTTGGTGTCTCTGCCCCTCCCACAATGGGGAAATTTCCCCCAGTAGTTTGTGTCTCTGCGCCTCCCACAGTGGGGAGATTTCCCCCAGTAGTTTGTGTCTCTGCCCCTCCCACAATGGAGAGATTTCCCCCAGTAGTTTTTGTGTCTCTGCCCCTCCCACAATGAGATTTCCCCCAGTAGTTTGTGTCTCTGCCCCTCCCACAATGGGGAAATTTCCCTCCCGTAGTTGGTGTCGCTGCCCCTCCCACAATGAGGAGATTTCCCCCAGTAGTTTGTGTCTCTGCCCCTCCCACAATGAGATTTCCCCCAGTAGTTTGTGTCTCTGCCCCTCCCACAATGAGATTTCCCCCAGTAGTTGGTGTCCCTGCCCCTCACAAAATGAGATTTCCCCCATTAGTTGGTGTCTCTGCCCCTCCCACAATGAGATATCCCCCCAGTAGTTGGTGTCTCTTCCCCTCCCACAATGAGATTTCCCCCCCAGTAGTTGGTGTTTCTGCCCCTCCCACAATGGGGAGATTTCCCCCAGTAGTTGGTGTCTCTGCCCCTCCCACAATGGGGAGATTTCCCTGTAGTAGTTTGTGGCTCTGCCCCTCCCACAGTGGGGAGATTTCCCCCCAGTAATTTGTGTCTCTGCCCCTCCCACAATGGGGAGATTTCCCCCCAATAGTTTGTGTCTCTGCCCCTCCCACAATGGAGAGTTTTCCCCCAGTAGTTGGTGTCTCTGCCCCTCCCACAATGAGATAAAAAAAACAAAAAAAATGAATAAATACAAATAAAACAAATGTAATAAATAAAATGAAACAATAACTATAAAATAAATAAAATAACAAACCAACCAGTAGTTGGTGTCTCCGCCCCTCCCACAATGGGAAGATTTCCCCCAGTAGTTGGTGTCTCTGCCCCTCCCACAATGGGGAGATTTCCCTGTAGTAGCTTGTGGCTCTGCCCCTCCCACAGTGAGGAGATTTCCCCCAGTAGTTTGTGTCTCTGCCCCTCCCACAATGGAGAGATTTTCCCCAGTAGTTTGTGTCTCTGCCCCTCCCACAATGGGGAGATTTCCCCCCAATAGTTTGTGTCTCTGCCCCTCCCACAATGAGATTTCCCCCAGTAGTTGGTGTCTCTGCTCCTCCCACAATGGGGAGATTTCCCCCAGTAGTTGGTGTCTCTGCTCCTCCCACAATGGGGAGATTTCCCCCAGTAGTTGGTGTCTCTGCCCCTCCCACAATGAGATTTCCCCCAGTAGTTGGTGTCTCTGCCCCTCCCACAATGAGATTCCCCCCAGTAGTTGGTGTCTCTGCCCCTCCCACAATGAGATTTCCCCCCCAGTAGTTGGTGTTTATGCCCCTCCCACAATGGGGAGATTTCCCCCGGTAGTTTGTGTCTCTGCCCCTCCCACAATGGGGAGATTTCCCCCAGCAGTTAGTGTCTCTGCCCCTCCCACAATGGGGAGATTTTCCCCAGTAGTTGGTGTCTCTGCCCCTCCCACAATAGGGAGATTTCCCCCCCCCAGTAGTTTGTGTCTCTGCCCCTCCCACAATGGGGAGGTCCAGTGTCAGGTCACCTTGATAGTTTCTCTGTATGTGGGTCAGTGACCCTAGGGTGTAACACGGCGCTGGTCTTCACACATGGAGGACAATTGTCATGCGTTTCTCCTGCGTTGCTGACCACGCCCGGACTGAACGAGTCCTTGAAGGACATCACAGAGGAAGACAATCGATTTTTCTCTGGTTTGGGTTCGTTCTTCCATATTCCTGTATTTGTGGAAATATATAAAAACATTCCATAAATTGTTGATGAAGAAAAGATTCTGCAGAGATATGAAGACAATGAGGTTCTTCAGAGGGAATGTGACTAAGAGGTGGAGCTCCAAAACTGCCCCCCCCCCTCCCCCCAACACACAGACCTCTAAATAAGGTTTGGTGCCTTGGTACCAGAATAAGTGGTGGGTGGTCGGTCTTGGACCTCATGGCCTTGATCCAACTCTGGAGAACATCATCAGTACTGCCGAGTGGAGGTAGATGCACATGGTCAGTGCAGTCATCTCCTCAGGATGGTGTCACAACGGGGGGGAGGCGGAGTCTGTTCTCTCACAAGGTCACCCCTGTACTGACTGGATATGAGTTGGTGGAACAGTGGAGCCCAGGATTGGTAGATATCAAGGTGAGCTTTCTGCCAAGAGGGGTGTCCTGGGAGGGGG